GTACTAGTACTAGTAGTAGTAGTAGTAGTTAGTAGTAGTAGTAGTAGTAGTAGTAGTAGTAGTAGTAGTAGTAGTAGTAGTAGTAATAGTAGTAGTAGTAGTAGTAGTAGTAATAGTAGTAGTAATAGTAGTAGTAGTAGTAGTAGTAGTAGTAGTAGTAGTCGTCGAAGAAAGAGGCGGAGGAGGAGGCGGAGGAGGGAGCAGGAGGAGGGAGGAGGAGGAGGGGAGGAGGAGCAGGAGCAGCAGCAGAAAGAGCAGAAGCAGCAACAGCAGCAGGAGGTGCAGGAGGAGGACGCCGCCCCCCACCCGCGCTGCCCCACGGCCTGGGCGTTGGCCTGCGCCGCTGGGTCCTCCACGGCCGCCGCCGGCTCGGCCTCCGCTTCCGCGGCGGGGCGCGTCGCCGCGGCCGCCTGCGGGCGCTGCGCGGTGCACCCGATGGGATGTCGGAGGCCCGCGGCCTCGCGACGTCTGGAAGGTCAGGGTTCGAGGATCGAGGATCGAGGGTTCCAGGGCCGAGGATCGAGGATCGAGGGTCGAGGATCGAACCGGCGGAGCGGAACCGCGAGGAGGCGCTCCAGGCGGGGGGGGGGGCATGGGAGGCCCGCGGCCGCCGACGTCTGGTGAACGTTTTCTTGTTCGGGGTCTCGGCATTGAGCGGGAGAGGGAGGGGAGGGGGGGGGGTCTGGTTCGCCGGACCTCTGCTTCGTGCGACTGTTTGGAACCGTGCGTCCTACGAGGGGAATTCCACCTGCTCGAAACAGGCGCCCAAAACAGCCCAAATCTACTCCATGGGAGGGGAGGGTGGGGGGGGGAAGGTGCGATCGGTAAAACACTGAATAAGAAAACGATCACCTGGAAGGTCGGACGCAAGGATGTTTCGAGGATCCCGAGGACCCCCTGGCGTCACGGAAAGATCATGACGGGGGGTTCTTGCCCGTTTTCGGCCACGGGGGCCCTGGCCCGGCCCTGGGGCCGCCTGAAAACGACTCAAGATCAAACGCTGTTCCTAAGGAAGGGGTTACGATCTCCTAGCGCCGCGATGCACTCGGGGGATATCGGAGGCCCACGGCATCCAGCGTCTGGAAGATCAGGGGCAGAGATGCTTCGGGGATCCCACTCCGATCAGTGGGTGTCAGAAAATGATGGTCACGGCCGACGAGATCGGAAACTACAGATTTTGCTTCATATTCTGGTATCGGTCGCGACCGATTTGCTTCAAGATCGGTTGCGACCGCAACCGATGTTTGAATCGGTCGCGACCGATTCGGAGCGCCGACCAGCCGCTATCGATCGCGGCGGAAAAAATCCGGTATCCAACGATCTGGGTGGGGGACCGCCGAACCAAAATAACGGGTGCTGAGAAGCCCGTCTCGAGGAGGGGGTCGAAACCACTTGGGACCCGCGTTCTGAGAAGATGTGGGGTCGGAGGCCTGCGGCTTCCGACGTACTGGAATTCAGGGGGGAGGAACTTTTGACCACGGTCGGGAAAATGTTGCTTGGCGTGTCGGAACTGGCGACACGCTATGCCTTGCGAGCGGGTAGCGTGTCGCCCTGCTCCGCGGGGCGGGAGGCTCGGAAAGGCTCGGGACGCCAAAGTTGAAGCTTGGGGACTGGGAAGAGGATCGCGTGTCGCGCCGAAGAGCGGCGGGCCAGAACCGGCGGCGCGACACGCTAAGCCAAAGTTCGTGACAGCAGATCAGCGATTTTCGACCATTGAGGGGCGCCTTCGATCTACGTAGATGTTTCGAGGATTCGTCCAGGATCGAAGGTCGAGGATCCCAGGATGTTCAACATCCTGGGTGTTGGGGGTTATCGAGGACGAGGGCGTGTGGGGGGGGTTGTATCGCTTTGTTGTTTGGGGGTCATAGGTCGCTGCTCGCGCATTCTCTGCGGAATCTTCTTCTTTTAAAGGGGGGTGAACTGGTTTTCCTAAAGTTTCTGCCTCCAGTTTTCCGAAAGTTTCTGCTTCCAGTACTCCAGCTGTTTTTTCGAAGGCTCTCCCAAAGCTCTGTCTTCCCTTAGGCGAAGGAGGAGGAAGAGGAGGAGGAAGAGGAGGAGGAGAAGGAACAGGAAAAGGAGTAGGAGGAGGAGGAGGGCGGAAACGGAGGAGGAGGTGGAGGAGGAGGAGGGCGGAAACGGAGCAGGAGGTGGAGGAGTAGGAGGAGGCAGCGCCCTGAAGGGGGAACGAGAATGAGAGGACAGGGAGGAAGCAGAGAGCGAGCCATGAGGGAGCCACAAGGATATCTCTTTGTGAGCCCCCCGCCCCCCGCGAAGGATTCCTAGTGTGAGATGTTCCCATCGAATCCCTTGTTGAAGCTTTCCAGAGGATTCCTGTTGTGAGGCCTTCTAATAGAGTGCTTGTGTGGCGCTTTCCAACAGATCCCTCTTGTGAGGCTTCCCATCGAATCCCTTTGTGGTGCTTTCCAAAAGATTTCTGTTGGGAGGCCTTCCAATCGAATCCCTGTGTGGTGCTTTCCAACGGATTCCTGTTGTGAGGCCTTCCAATAGAGCCTCCGATTGCAAGCTTCTATTGTCAAGATTCCTATTTCTCCTCCTTCTCCACTGTGCCTTCCTCCTCGTCTACACGCCGCCTTCCTGCTTCACAATGGGAATGCTTGGAAAGCGCAACAAAGGGAGGATACGGTTGAAAAGCCTCACAACAGGATTCTGTGGGAAAGCCGCGAATCCTCTGGAAAGAACCACGCGGCGATTCTATTGAAAATCCTCCCAAAAGGAAGAGGGATCCTTTGGAAAGCACCACACAGCGATTCGGATGAGCTGTGGACGGCGCGGGCCAGAAGCATGTATTACGAAACAGCTACGACGACCGAGGCACATAGAAACATGCACGCGCTCTCATCTCTGCATCGCCATGCGTTTTTCTCAGGCGTTCGGGCATCCCCGTAGCCCTGAAAAAAAACGCATCAGGAGGGAGTCGATTGTCAAGGGTATCCTTCCTTATCGTCCTCGTCGTCGTCGTCCTCCTCCTCGTCTTCTTGATCCTCAATTCCCTCCTTCCCGAGATAGTAAGCATCATCTGTGTCGTCATCATCTCCATCGCCGAGGCGGAGGACTTACAAACGCGGGGTGCCGCTATGCCCCCCAACCCTCTCCTCCCATCCTCACTCGTTGTCCGTCCTCCTCCTCCTCGTCCTCCTCCTCCTCCTCCTCCCGCGAGGTACTGGTCTTGCGGCTCTACGCGTCGAATCCATGCCGAACGCGTCGAATCCTCGTCGAACCCATGTCGACTCCGTGACGAACCCACACCGGATCCATGTCAACGGCGTGTAAGAGCAAACTGCGAGCTACAAGACAATTGCAACAAATACCGCCCGAAGATGCAAAGTGACCTTCCTGCCCCTCCTCTCCTCCTCCCGCGAGCCACGTGGGCCTGGCCAGCCGGTGCTGCCATGCCGGCAACAGGCTTGCCGTCGGCCCCGTCCGGCTCTTCCTTGTCGGGCTTCGGCAGCGCCTCCTGCAGAGGACCGACAGCTGCTACGGGCTCCCATACACCTCCGACGGCATGAGTTCTTCGATCGGGGCGCTTCCTTTTAGAGTTCTGGCCGTGGGGTCCGTTGTCGAGTATGGGGGCCAATAGGGACCGACTCGGTGCGAAAGACTGGCCCCCAGGGGAAGGGGTCGGCACTTCCCTGGGGCACCTCGCGGGAGAAAGACATCGTCGCACGTCTGCTGGGCAGACACCGGAGACGTTGGTGGCTTCGGCTTGAGTCGGGGATCGTAGACTGTTCGTAGATCTACGAACGCTCTCTCTCTCTCTCTCTCTCTCTATATATATATATATACATGTATATATATATATATATACGCACTCTTCGCAGACCCGACCGTACAAACCAGATCTGGGGCAGCTCGATTCTGTAGCCGGACGACCACACAGCGGCCCGCCCGAGCCGCGGCCCACGCCGGAGGACCTCGTGGCCGGGAGCTGCTGCTCGGCGTGTCGCGGCGGCGGCCCCGGCGACACGCTGCGCCCGGCAAGCGGGCAGCGCGTCGCTTTGCTCCGCGTGTCGCGCCGGAGCGAGGTGGGCCAGGAGACGGGCGGCGCGCCACGCGAAGCCGAAATTCCAGACCGTACCGTTGACTGCCTACCAGTCGAGCACCGGTGCAGTCCACTGGCCACCGCTCGGACGTCCATTCCCTGTGTTTTGTTCGGTTTCGTGCGTGGTTTGCCGCCAAATGATCAAGGATGCTCCTCGATGGTGCTCGCCGAGGGAAAGGTGCACACGTCCGAGCGATGCCAAGTCCAGGACCAGTCAAGCACCTGCCCACGGGTGGCGAACCGTCAGGCACCGGTCCAGTCCAGGAACAGTCATGGGCTATGTCGGCCTGCCCTGGGGAAGCGACCCGGACTGCCAGTGGACCCGCTGTGGACAAAGGCGCTGTATGCTCGTCTCTACCGCCCTCTCGGGGCCAGAGCTCCTGCACCTCACCTAGCGCTGCACAGACACCCAGCAAGATCACTACTTCACAAAATGACTCCCCGAGGTCCAGACCCTTTCCCCAGGACCGGATTTTCATCCGGAACCGTTTTTGGGAAGTCCTGGGGCCCAGCGAGGACCCCCAGAGACAGAACATTTGCAAATCCCTCCGCGAGGAAGTCCGGGTTGTAGACACAGTCGATGTACCCGTCTCTGCTGCCCTCCTGGGGCCAGCTCCTGCGCTTCACCTAGCGCCAGCTCGGCTCGCCCGTGCCCCAGGTCGGTCCCACACGCTCGTGCCAATGGCTCTCCGTGCCCGTCGATCCTGGATCTCCAGCTCCTGGTCGTTGACGGTGTGGGTCTCGCCCGTTATCTTGTCGACCAGCTCGCTGTGCGCTGCCTCCCCCTGGACCGCGATGGTGACGAACGCCATGCCGCGGGGGCGCTGCGTCTTCTTGTCGCGGACGAGGGTGGCCTCCTGCACCTCCGGTGCGAACACTTCGCGCAGGGCCCTCTCGGCAAAACCAGCGCACTGGACTCATTAGCGCACAGCAGCAAGGT